GCCAGTATCTAGCTCGACCGGGTATGACCGTCGTCGCTGAGATCCCAACCATCAAGAAGTGGATTCTGGTCTACGAGCTCCCCGTCGGCAACTCTAGCTCACACGGTGTCAACTATCCAGTCCATTATCGTCTCGCAGATAAGCCAACCGAATTTGATTCAGCCCCTGGAATTCCTATTGTCATCGAAGGCAAGGTTGCGCCCAATGCGTCGCCATATGTGGTCTGGTCACCGAGCGGTGGTCCGAACGGAACGATTGTGGTCTCGGATGCTGATCGGGATGAGCTGTACACAAACAGATATGGTGGAGATCCAGACAAGTGGGAGATGCACCCTTGCGAGCAGCCAGCTGCCTACAGTCGGGCTTTGCATATTTTTAAGGACTACCCTGAGCACCTGATGGTGTTGAGTGGTGCAATTTTTGATGACGGCGGGCCATATGATGACTTGAGCTTAAGTGTGTTTAACTTGACTGAGGTCGTAAGCAAGAAGGCGGATCTCGACAAGTTTCTGGGAGGTAGTAGTTAGGTGTTTTCCTCCCAACTGTTGGGTCGGCAGTTGTTTACCCCTAAATGGATATAAGCCGGAGACCACTCCGGACCGGCGCCGGGCGCCAAGACGGATAACGGAGGTCTTGGCGTCTTGGCCGGCAGGGTTGCGCCGACTTCATCCGGAATTCGAAACCTGAACAATCCTCATAACTTCCAACCCATCAATAAATAATCCACTCTTAACAAATAGAGTATTTTTTTATATTTTTTTTTTTTAGAAAAGCCCGTGATTTGCGTTGTAGTAATGATTTGTTCCTGAATCTTTTGTTTTTTTCACTTATTTCATCCACATCCCGACATGTCAGCACCACCTGTAAGTCCCCACTCTCGCACAGGCATCAATTCCTACACAATACTCACTCTCCAAAAAAAGGAAGGAAACAGAAACCTTGCGCGCATCAGAGATAACCAACGACGCTCCCGCGCAAGGAAGAAGGAATACGTCGAGGAGCTGGAACAGCGTATCAGAGAGTTTGAGCGACAAGGCGTGCAAGCAACAACTGAAGTCCAAGTCGCTGCTCGCAAGGTCGCCGAGGAGAACAAAAAACTGCGAGCTCTGCTCAGGCTTCACGGCGTCAGTGAGGCTGGTATACAGGAGTACTTGACTGCCGATGATGGGACGTCGGGAAGCTCCTTCTCCTTCTCGCAATCGATCAATGTCTATCAACATCAACATCAACATCAACATCAACATCAGCATCAACATCAACAGCGTCAACGGCAATGTTCCGGACTCTCGAATGAGCTTGATGACGGGGAAGAAGACGAACATGACTGCTCGGCGGCGGCCGATTTGTATGTGCACCATTACCACTTCCACCTGATAAAATACTGATTGTGTGGTTGCAAGAATATCCCTAATGACAGGCGCAAACCCCCACGAGGTTCGCGCGTCGCTTGGTTGCCCACCGGGTACTGACTGCCGTGTAAACGACAACGCAGTCGGCAACGCCATCAACCGACTTACAACAACAACAACAAACACAGGTTCATAGCAAGCAAGACATAGAAAAAAAGAAAAAGAAGAAAAAAAACTACAGAATGCAAACTAACTAATCAAATTCCTTTCATTGGGTATAAAGTTAATAATACAAAAAACGACAATAACAAAACATATGTCCTGTGTGTCTCGCTCAACCAGAAACAAATCATAATCTTTCCGAGTAAACCACAATTCCCAGCAAAGCCAAGAGAATCATAGTTCCCCCCTCCCCTTCCCACCTCGGCCAAATGCTATCTTCCTTGAAAAAAGATCACAAAAAGTAATCCGCAACAGGTTTCTTAGCCGGCATCCCTCTCGAATCTTGCGGCGCAGCCATGAACACCCTATACCTCCTCGCAGGGCCCGGCAGGACCTGATCCTCCAGATCATTCTCCATCAACACCCCTCTTGAACCACCACCCATCCCACCATTACTCCTATTAACATCCCCATTACTCCTCGCCAACACCCCCAGCCCGCTATCATCCTCCGACAGCTCCAAAAGCGCCGCCACATTACCGCACCTATAGCAGTAGTTTGGCGCCGACCAGACCGTCACGATGCTCGCATCAAACATCTCCTTGAACCCTTCCATAACCAACTGATGCGCCCTCGCAATCAGACTCAAATCGTTCCTGTGATTAAACACTTTGACGATATCAGCCCCAAACAAGAATCCCGCTCCTCTCGGCGACAATCCCCATCCGTCAATCTCGTCGGGGTCAGACCAGAGCAAATCGCACATGGCACCCTCATGAGGTACTTCCTGTTTGCGATCGAGCAACCTGATCTTATCCACGTTATCAATCAACGGACTCAGCCCTCCATGCACGCACAGCACCGCCCCCGCAGGGTTGCCCAATGACCCTCCACTCGAACCACTCGCTCCAGAACCAGGAGGTCCCGTATTCGAAGGCGTTGGACTCCCACTTGGTACTACTCCATTACTCTGCTGCACCGGCCCATTAAGCTCTGCCCCATTGCCATTCCCTACATCCCCTCTGCCTTTCCTCAAGAACTGACTGATGATCTGCTGGTCCGCATTACAGACCTCAATTTCAACGTCAGCCCCTGGAGGCGCAGCCAAGGGTCTTCCAGGCGAAGCAGGCAAAGTATTTGATGCCCCAAGAACGATCGCTCCCAACGCTAGGTAATCAAACACGTCGCAACAGTACCGCCAGACGTTTGCGCTCCCGTATTTGCGCAGGCACTCGTCGTAGAAGCCGTAGACTGTCGTGATTTGTCGGGATTCGTGGTTGCCTCTGATTAAAGTCATGCGGTCAGGGTAGCGGACTTTGAGGCAGAGGAGGAGGAGGAATGATTCGAGGGAGTAGAAGCCGCGGTCTACAAAGTCGCCTGTCAAATAAGAATAGAATTAGTAAGCAAAAAGGGCGAGGGTGAATGAGGCAAAAGCTTACCCATAAATAAATAGTTTGTGTCGGGAACATCTCCGCCTACTCTAAAGAGCTCCATCAAATCGTGAAACTGCCCGTGGATGTCGCCGCATATCGTTACGGGCGCGTTGACCGTGACAACGTTTCCTTCCTCAATCAAAATTTCGCGGGCCTTGTGGCAGAGTTCGCGGACTTCGGCTTCTGGTATGGGTCGGCAGGCTCGTAGTTGAGCAATCGCCCTGTTGGATTATGGGATCAGATGAAATTCCAGTCTCTGCGCTTTGATTCGAGAACGGCTAACCTGTCTAAGTCACTCATTTTGAATTATGGAAGGTGCGCTGGAAAGAAGAGAAAGGTTGTAGTTGGGGCCGACAGTCGGGTGATGTTTGTTGAAGGTGTCGCGGCGGCGGCGGGGCAAATAATCAAAATGGTGTTTCTGCGACGACGGGTGGTTTCCGACCGACCGCTGGAAAAATAAAATAAATAAAAGAGTAGCTTTGCGCGCCCTTAAAATGCCGAGTTCGTTACACAAACACCAAGTAACAATAAAACGGGCAATGTGTATCTCTGAAGCTGAAAAAAAAAAATGCTGGTGATTTCTTGCCCTTTGGTTTTTTGCGAAAAGGCGGCCGTCTTAGAGATTCCCAATTACTTGTTAATTGAGGAATTCCCTTATCGGCGGCGTCGGCTACGGCGCGCTGCTGCAAGCACGTGTGGTCCGTGCTTCTATTTTCCCCACTGCAAGCCAATTTAGCGAACCTGGGGGTTCGTTGGCTGACAGCTTTCAGCAAGCTGTGACGCGTGCCTGACAAGCTTCTTTTTTTCTTCGGCTTTTGGGGCGGGCAGACAACCCCACCTTTTTTCGGCCAGAAATTCCCAGCTGTCGGGCGGAGCGGAACTTGGAACCACAGCTTCAGAGCTCCAGCTCCCACCAAAGGTCCCGAATCCCGGGCCCCAGCAAGCAAGCAACCCAGCGTATTCGGGGGCTTCTAGGTTGTTTCCTAAATTCCAAGGTCGCATCATGGTTTGAAGCATGCCTGGTTGAAAGCAATTGGTACATTTGCGAGTCTGGAAAATGACACGATCAATTGGGCTAACGAAATAAAAATTGGCGCAGCAACGAAACACCCTTTCCTCCCACCACGAATTCACCTTATTCACCTATCCTTGACTCCTGACCATGGCACCACCCCACCTCCACCCCAGGTCGCGGATGACCTCGTCACTCTTTGCTACCACAGTTGTTGCGAGCTTCTTCGTCGTTGCGCTGCCTCATATCCTCCCATGCCCTGCGCCGAGACGAGCCCTAGCTGATGGGGAGATGCCGGAAAAGAGGAGAAGGAGGAAATCAGAGGTGGAATCCCCGACGGCTACGATATCTGAGGATGGGATTGTGCAGTTCCAGGGTCAACCTGCTGAGCGAGGGCTAAAAAAGTCAGCACAGGCAGCGCGAGAGTGCCCTGTTCCAAAACCGGGAGGCATCTTGGGAGAATGGCTTGGGTTCCATGGACCGAAGGAGGATAAGACGCCCAAGCCTGAGAGGTGACGAAGGGTGGTGTGTGGAGAACAAGCTTTTTTGGTTACTATGCACTGAGGGACGTTGTATATATGCTGCTGCGCGCAGAGAAGGAAGTGTATCATAGGATGGTAAACAAAATCACACACAGGAGGTCGGGAAGGCCGGAAGGAAGCAAGGAAACATACTCAAAATGGCGAGTTACTGTCGATGCTCGTCAGGGAATACCCACCTTTGAGCCTTTGATGCTCAAAAAATAAATACAAAACATTTATCTACCAAAGAAGTCTCTTGTACATGCAACGCACCAAATCCCACTCTCTCTCACCATCCTACTTGCGACAAAACCCCAATGCAACCCAATCCCAGCATAACAACCGGCCGCACCCCTTTCAACCACCACGTTTCCCAATTCACCCCAATGCTCGAAATTCAAGCCCCAGTTCAATTGGAATCCCGTCATTGAACTTTCCATCTTTCTTGCGTCAACACTACTAACTCACCGCTCTCAGACTCGACCCGTGATTCTGACTTGCAATCATCAACAAATTACTCAAAGGCAACTTGGCCGAGTGGTCTAAGGCGACGCACTCAAGGACTAGTTATCCCGTATAACTTCCTTCTCTTTCCTCAGAAAGAGCTGTATTGCGTTCTCGAGAGGGGCGTGAGTTCGAATCTCACAGTTGTCACATTTACTTTTTTACTTGGTTTTTTTTTCTCCTCCCACGAGAGAATGAGGTGGGGGTTTGTTTGTTTGTTTTTGTCCCTTTTCTTTCTTATATATTCTTAGTAGTGGTTTTTTTGTGATCCATTACCAATCTGTCAAGGGCTGCTTGTATACATCTACAATATTGCCGCCATGTAATTACGATGCGAGTTAACGTATGATGTGCCGCTAAAAGCCAAGAGAAATTGAAACAGCAACTGAATCGGATGAGAGATTTCCCTTCTTCTTCTTCTTGTTCAGTATAACATGTTTCTTGAGGGTTTAAACTCCTTTTCCCTCTTTGAGTCGGCTGGAAACCATTCATTTGTTTAGAGTTGGCACGCTCGGATCAAGATCTTGAGCTTGGCTTTTTTTTCTTTCTTCTTCTTCTTCTTCTTCCGCCCCCTGAGCTCGTGGCTGTGGAGTGATCATTTCTATATGCCACCACGTTAAGGATGTAGGCAACACACCATCTTCCATTGAGAGCATCCAATGAGGCATGGTTTTTTGTGATCGTTTAATTTACCCGTTCAGATCTACAACACCTCCCAAGGTGGAAAAGGTCGCATACAAAACGGCTTGCTACCCATCCTGCATACAATGTCAAATATCAAGTCCGGCAACAAAATCCTTGTTTTGCGTGTCAGTGGTACACATATCAGCCTTTCTCGGGCTTGGTAGTTTTAGGTATATCTTGTTTCCCTGTTCTACTGCGGACTCGTGTGTAAGTCGTCATTCACACCTTTTCCCTCTCGGCTTAATAGCATGGCACATGTTTCATCGACGAAAAGGAGGTGTGCCTGTCTGTCTGTTCATCCCAAAGTTCATCCCGTCGGGCTGGCGACGATCCGTGTTCTAGGCATGCCAGGCTGTGCCGCACGGGCTCTGGCAGGATCGAAACGGAATATATCATCGACTTGACTGCTTTGGTTTTTGTTGATGAGATTTCTCTCTTCCTTTTGGTATTGTTGCCTGCTTAAAGCTTGTCGTTCCTTTTATTCTTCATTTTATATTTTTAATCCTACTCAGAGGTAAGTCAATATCAGAGGACGTGGTGATTTGGCTAGATGTTGATGATTTCATAGCTGTGCTCTTTTCTCCCTTGTTTGCAGGCAGACATTCGTTTCTCAAGACAGATACAGATCTCGCCATGAAGTCACTCACTTTTCTCCTCTCCGCTGGCCTGGTGTCCGCTCAGATTGGTGCGAACGGCCTTAATCTCGGTGGTCTGGCAGGTGGTTTCGGGAACTTGGGAAACCTTGGAAACTTGGGAAACCTTGGGAATTTGGCCAACCTCAACCTCAACAACCTTAACGTTGGCGGTCTCAACCTCGGAGGAGTTGATCTTGGCAACCAAGATCAAGTTGTTGATGCAATCCAGCTTTTGCTCCAGAATTTCTGTTTGGGAAACCAACTGAACCGGAACAATATCATGGGGTTTGGTTCCAACAATGATGTCGACCTCTTCTTCCAGCTCGCTCAGCTCCAGCAGCTTCAACAACAAGGATTCCTCAACGTGGGAGGTATCCAAAATATGTTCAACAAGGGTCAGGTTCTTGGAGGGTTCAACCTGGGTAAGTTCGGCCTCTTTTTCCCATCCTATGATCTCGGTCCGTCTAACCATCTACTTGATTACAGGTCTCTTCAAACGCGAGATTGAGCAAGCCAGGAAGACCTTGAAAAGAACTGTTCTTCGGCGCGGCCCGAATTCCAAGCGCCAATGTGCCGAAGGGAACGTCGGTGGAGGCATTCAAACAGGCATTCAAACTGGGATTCCTGGACTGGATGAAGCTGCTTTCAACATTGCCACAGCTGCCAGCCAAGCGATTGCTGCCCCCACTGCGGAAGCTGCATTTTCTATCGCCACGGCCAATGCTGATGCGGATAACGCTCTCCTCAGCATCGCGACCGCGGATCCCGGGCTGGATGCTGCATTCACCATCGCTACGGCAGATCCGAACGCCGCCGTTGCTACCGCAGCCGTCGCCGCTGCAGCTGTTGCATCGGCTGCTCCCACCTTCGCAGCCTCCGTTGGCTCATTCTCTGTCATTGCAGGTGCTGCTGCTCCGACGGCTGCTGCATCTTCGAGTTCTACATCAACATCTTTAGTTGCTGTTGCAGTCACCGCTGAAGCTCAACTTGCTGCTAGCGCTGCTCCTGCTGCGATTCTTGAATCAGCCCCTGCTGCCGCTGCAACCGCTGCCCCAGAGGTTGAAGTGGAAGAGGAAGAGGACGACGAGGATGCCGTGGAGAACCTCTCGGACCTAACCCGTTAAGGGATGATTTGTCTCCGAGGATAACCGGTCAAGGTCAAGGGGTACGAACAGCTTTACTGGATCAGGGGAGTAAACTATTCGTTGAAACATCCGGCTGAGTCCCGAGCAGACGGGCCGGGGGTTGGTCTTGGGCCTGGGGTGTGTCGGCAATTGCCAAGTGTTGTAGCTGCTTTCTAATTTGGTGCTCCTTTCTTCTTTACCGTTATTTCTTTACATCCACTTGAATTGTAATTAGACTAGGTAGCCACGGGGTGTCGAGACGAATCTGGAATCTTGACATGTTATTTTGAGAATTGAGAACATGAGTCGAAACATTGTGATGTATGCCCTGTATCTCGTGATATGACGATGTTGACGGCATCGCCAACTACGGTCGGGTCAAGTGGGCAGGGTACTGCTTCACATGAATGACGCCGTCGGTGCTCCCAACAGAATCATCAGACCAACCTACCTCTACCAAGTGAATCGGTACCTGCAGAAATCGTGCAATAGTGTGCTCTCGGACGGTTGAAGAAGGGGGTGGTTCCCGTCCGGATGCCGCACGGTTCCGGTGGCCAAGTGTGGTGGAAAGAAGATCCATTCAGGCGAAGTGTGCTGTGATTCTCGACGTCCCGCAATCGCATGGATGGCGACTGCTTCATCTCGTGCATTTGCGACACCTTGAGGGGTTCTGCGCATGAGCGCACGGTTCCCGGTGTTGCAGGTGCACGGCTTCAAATTGCGAAGTTGACCAATCATTTTACACCATTTTCTCTTGGCTGTGGGTGGCACACCAACGCAAGCCAAGACCTCTCCCGCTGTTTGGCTTCATGTCTTTTCCAGAGACGACCCGCTATTTAGCCAATCCGCCAGAACCAATGCCGGGTTGATCGGTATTCGGCTATCTCCAGGCTGGACTGGACTCAATAAGCTTAACGTCAAGTTTGATAGGTTTCCCCATTAACATTGTCACCTTGACAGGCCACCAAGAAACGCTAATGTACTCCGTCCTCTGTGATAGAGCTTTGTCCTCAGAAAGGGTCACGGGCACATGTTCCTTCCGTGTGGTAAACAGCTCCTTCCGAGAAAATACTCAGAATCTCTCGTCTGAACCCCCCCTGGGGGCTGGGTTCAAGGATGTTGTTTCCCAAACTGATGATGATTGAACTCAAAGTTTCTTTCGTCACATCCAAAAATTCCCGAGATTGCTGGTCTAATTTTCCATCAGATGTTCTGCTCCTCCAAACATTTCGAAACGAAGAGCTCACCCTCGGTGTCGATCAGGAATCAACTATCACTGTCTGCTCTCACAGTCGAGACCAAGAATAGCAATCACGGAGCACCTGTCCGCAGTCTGCAAGACATCGGACGACGGCTGCCCTTGGACGGGAGAATCTACTGAACAGTCGAAGCCTCCCCCCACTCTCATTCCGGGCCTGAGCTACACTATGCTCCCGCTGAGATCTCAATGCTACCGTGATGTCAATCTCCTCAAGGTGCCGTAGTAACATGTTTCTCTTGGCAGCAGGTCATGAGTCCGGCCAGACAACTCTCCGCAGGGCACAACCTGCGTCGACAGGGGTGTAGGCTCTCGGCTCTCTCCTCCCGCCACCACATCGTGAGCACATCCCGGCTCATGCTGGCGCTCTATCCCATGGTGTTTTACCCGCCAGCTCCGTTCTCCCTGATGCCTGGCATCTGATACGCACCGGATGAGTCCTAGACCTCCCTTCCGAGTGCACCCAGTGTCCCTGAAAAGCTTGGCGCGCGGCTGTTCTCTCGTCCCTACTCAAGTCTCCTCGACATATAAGGCGACTTGACGGCCCGTTGCTCAGAGTTTTTGTTTCTCCATCCCACACTCAACACCAGCTTTCCATTCAGGTTCACCTTCTTCTTCAGTCATTCACTTCTTCAGAGGTAAGATCTACGATAAACAAAGTAATAACGACCTCCTCATACTAACCTGGCATCCACACAGCTGTGCTCGCTGTTCGCTTCCATTCCTTCAGTTTTTTGAACATTTTTGAGCTGTGCTCTCTTTTATAATCCTTTAATCAGCCATACGCAAGTCGTTCTCTCAAAACCCAAACAAAACCAGCAAAAATGAAGGTCTTCACCATCCTCGTCTCGGCTCTCGCCACCCTCACTGCCGCTGCCCCTGCTGTTGCCCCTGCTACTGCTGAGGTCGACAAGCGCTCTTTTGCCTTTGATGCCAACGCCCTCAATGGCCTCAAGGGTTTCAACCAGGTCAACCTGAACTACCTGCTCAATATTAACTCCCTTCAACTCGGTCTCCTTGGCAACCTTGCCAACGTCAACAACTTCAACGTCCTTCAGTTCCAGGGTCTTTTCCAGCAGAACCAATTTGACCTCGGTTCTCTCCTCCAGCTCCAGCAGCTCCACACCTTCCTCCAGATCCACCAGCTCGGTGTTCTCAACGGCTTCGACTTGGGCGGTCTCCAGCTCCAGCAGCTCCAGCTTGGTCTCCTCAACAACGTCGGTGTTTTGGATCTTCAGCAGTTCATCTCCCCCAGCGTCATCAGCCAGGTACAGACTGTCGCATCCCAAGGTGAGTAATTTCTCTTTCTCTTCCCACTGCATTGCCTGCCCGTACATACCCACACCTAGCCCGCTCCTCATTTTTGTCGCCAAAACGTGTGTATTCACACGAGACCAAACCCCAGCCCCCGTCTCCTTCACCCCCAACCTGGTATCCCCAGCTCCCAGT